AATGTGTCATTTCTGTTTTCACAGGGAATGCTGCAAGGCACAATTGAAGGAGATTTTGCACTTTGTATTAGTTTATATCATGGTTATGAGCTACTGCTGCAGATGGGGTTACGATCATTATTTATCTACCTTTGTGGAATTATGGATGGATCAAAAGGTGAAGAGTCTTCAGAAGCATCCTTCCTTTTGACCCATAATTTACCTCGTGTATAAATACTTTTGATCAAAATATTTAATGTAATGACTAGGTTGCAAATTTAACTTTTTTTTTTTTTTAATTCTTCTTCATCCCCTTTGGAAATATGTCATTCAATGTTAAAAATAGTTATACAGTATGGGAGCAGTTTTGAAAATGGGGAAGACAAATAGAATTTGGGGTAAGTGATAGTAGTATCTTAGGAGAGAAAACTAAACAAATGAACAAATTAAATCAAGGAAGGGTGTGACCTTTTAAAGCAATTCCTCTCTTTGTTAGCTCATGTTCTTAGTAAAAATAGTTACAGTTTTAAGTATTTTTGCCAAAAGACTTTTTAAATACAAATTTAGAGTTATCACTCCAGGATTTTTACACTGAGCACGCAACATCTTCCTTCTTGCTGCTGAAGCGCGTGTAGCTCCTCCTGTCCTTGTGTTTTGTGGCGTGCACAAGGCCTGCTCCGTGCTCCGAGGAGGAGCTTTGCTTCCCTTGCGAGGCCTTTCCCGCCTTCCCGAGGAGGCTCCGCTGCGGGGGGCCGTGCGCTGCAGCGCCCGCTCTGCGTTATACCCTGTGCATGGGCTGTGTGCGGAGCAAAGTATGGATATTAGCACGGCATATAATATTTATGAATGATACTGCATAATATACAACATATAGATGCATTTGCTAATAACCCTTGTGATTATACCGTTGGTATTTTGCATTATATTACTCTTGCACGTGCAGATTTTGCCATTTCTGAGCGCATCGTGCTTCTGTTGGCCCTCGGCACTAAAGAGCCCTCAGAGTTTCCCAGCTCCCGAGTGCCTGGCCCTGGCCGACAGGTCCCTGACGGAAGGGGCTGTGTCCTGCGTGCAGGTTTTGGTGAGCTGGGCTTCTGGCTCCAGCAGGACAACATTCTTTCCAGCATTGTCGTAAAATCATCCAAGAACTGTTGGTTGGTTGGTTGGTTTGTTTTTTGCAATGAGCTCCCTTTTCTTTGGGTCCTTGGAAGCATTGATGGTAGTTGTAGAGTTTTTTTTGATGTAAAGCAGCTGACATAAAACTTCTCAGTTTCTTAATAGAGCCAAGGTTGCTTTTCTATCCATATAATTTTTGTGTTTAAATTCTATATCGGTGTCTTACCTGAAAAATACATTAATATGAAAAATATAAAAAGGGTACTAACAATGTTTGTTTTTTAAAGCTGACATGTACATTTTAGCTCTCAAAAAGAGCTGGTTGCTTCAAAGAAGCCTGTCTTTTGTGTAGCAAAAATTAGATACACTCTGGAGGTTGAATACTAAGATATTTAAACGTTTTACAAAGGATTAAGTCGTACAAGAAACGAACTTGGCCGCAACGAGGACTTCCTGCAGCTGTACCAACAGCTCAGGGACATGTTTGCAGACGCGTCCCTGACTGCAGCAAACGGGGGTCTGCGCAAGGACGGCCCAGGTCAGTGCTTCCCTTTCCACGACCCACCATTTACTCCGCTGCCTCTTCCCTAATTCCATCTCTGCCAGAGCAGAGTCACTGTTAAATGAAACAGGAATTGCTGCTGCAGGCTCTGTGGATGCACCAAGGCGTTCATGGTGATGCCCTGCTCGTGTTCTTCATTCAAAGTTCAGTTTTCAGCAGACTCACTTTTCTTTTTTTATTCTTTTAGTCATTCTAGCGACCTTCAAATGAGCGTTGCGTATTGGAAGCTTTTAATTTGAATTAAAATATTAGGGTAAAATATTATTTAACTCTTAAATATAATTAGACTGACAATGTATCTTTACAATGTGGTCATAGCAAAATAATAATACATTTTACTTTTTTTTTTTTCTGTAATTCACTGAAGTTTTATCATAGCAAAATAATAATATATTTTTACATTTTTTTTCTGTAATTCACTGAAGTTTTTGTTTAGGTGAATTTAATTAGAACTAGCGTTGAGAATTTTTATGTCTGACTCAGAGTCAGGATGCAAGAAAATGCAGTTCACAGAGCCTGTATAGATACTGCAGGTGCACTTATCTTAAATTGCTTTGTGTCCTTTCCAGTGTCTGAAAACAAAAAAGAATTCATTTACAGTCATCCAAAATTAAGGAAATTGGAGGAAATTGTAGTAAAGCACTTTGAATCCTGGAAACGAGGATGTTCTGGTAAGTGCTAAATTGTTTTTTGTCAAGTATGTATATATGTGTGTGAATATATATTTACATTAGTGTTTGTAGTGTACCTATCTGGAATACGGGGCTTGTTTGTTGTTTAAAAAAAATAGAAGCTGTCTTGGTAACTTGCTTGAGGAAAAGAAAAAAGCTGTAACCTATTTATAGAGTTTAAGGATAAAATGCTTGAGATTATGTGAAAGGGCATAAATCAATAGTTGTATGACTACTTAAAGGACAAATACAAAATACCTGCTAATGAGAAATATGTGTTTTGATTAATTTAAATAGTTAAGCTGCATTAAGTTCCAAAATGGTTGTACTTAGAAGAAAGATATTCTACCTTAATTTAAAATATACTCTCGGATTTTTTTTATAGACCAGTTATCCCTACAGTGTTGAGAAATTACAGTAGCAAAATAATCCCTTTTATTCTTCAATCTTGTCCTGTAATTTCAAAGAAAGAAATTGAATGTCTTGGGGGAAAAAAATCCCTCAGTTCTTAGTACTGGAGTGTCTTACACCTTTTCCTTGGAGATGTCTTGCTAGCAGCACCTATAAGAAGTAGATGTGAGAGGAAGGAGTCTGTGGGTGTTCCTGGTGGGGAGGTGCTCCGTGTGCCCAGCTGGGCTCTCCGTGTCTCCGTGCTGTGTGTGAGGATGAGGATGGGCCAAGGGCCCAGCAGCTGAGCCCCAGGAAGAGCCTTTGCCCAGCGCAGAGACTGTCTCAACCTTGGGGGCTCTCTGGGGATGATGTGGCTCCTTAGTCCTCGCTCGACTTGGGAGTTGCTGCACATAAGGTGTGTGGATCCAGGCGAATGTTGCATCAAATTGATTATTACCATGTAATACACTGGATAGAGTTTCAGTGTGAATTAACTTTCCTGCTCCTGATTATTCATAAGGAATGAGAACTTCTGTGTGATACAGTATAGAAATTCCGGTGTGAATCCTTGAGGGAGGCGGCTTCTGCTATGGCAAACTAGGAAGGAGGTTTTGTTTTGCTGCTTTTGCTTCTAAAACATCCAGTAGGTTTGGACTGCTACATAAAACGTTTCTTACTATCAGTAATACATGGATATTTGTGCTTATCTGAAATGAAAAATATTTTTATGTAAAAAGGCCTTAAAAGAATCTTTCGAGTGTTTCATTTTGACATTTAGCTTTAAGATGCTTCCAGATATTTTATATATCTTGATTATTACAGCAGTTAGATTATGCTAGAGTTTTTGTCATCAAAGCATGGATTTTTCTTTTAATCTGCTATATAAAGATATGTAATTCTTCTAGTGTTTTGTTTAACCTGATACTAAAATAACTGAATGAAGATGGGTAGAATTAAGCTCATGGGTTTGAGCATGGAAAAATTGTTAAGTCTTGTGCTGCTGGTATTTTTTATTTCATACTATTTTTGTCATTTCTATATGCATATAGGAATGGGAAACATATAATTAAAATTCTCTGTGAAGCTACAAGTTAATTCCCTTCCTCCCACACATATAAGTAATTGCTTTTTAGTGATGCTGGCAAATACATTTGTTTTGCCACCACTACCAATATTCCAGCTTTCCTGTATGATAGCTGGTTTTAATATTACATACACTTCCTTCTCTGTTTTCAAATGAATGGAGACTGTATGGATGAGTTCCCGATGCACAGCCAGCTCCTAGGAGTGACAACCTCTCAAGCTTCAGATTGGAATTAAAAACCCTTTTTTACATTCTCCTTTCTCATCCCTTTTTTGTCTGGGCCAAAGGGAGTAGGAAGCAGTTTCCTCACACCAGTTCTCTAGATCCATATAGTTAAATTTGAAACAAGGACGAGCAGCTGATCGTGAAGTCTGTGCCTATAATGCAAGGTCAGAAAACACTTCAACATTCAATCTAATCGCAAAGTTTTGCTTTTCCAAACCCAATGTATAAAATTCAGTCTAATCATGAAGTTGGAGGCTAAAGTTTTGCTTTTCCAAACCCAATGTATTGGGCAATGGACAGAAATACAGTGTCATCTTATTTATTTGGCTTGTCATTCATTGTGTCACAGCATCTTTGATAATATCTGTGCAGCAGCCGCAGAGCTGCTCCTCCACCCCGGCTCCCGATTCCCAAAGTAATCCCGAAGCCCCCGCGCGCAGGCGGCTGCGCCCGAGCGTGTTCCTGGGCTGAGCGCGAACACACCCGTGTCCTCCTTTCGCCCTCCTCCAGACAGGGCTTTGGCTCAAGCCCGTCGATAAAAACCTGAGTGCTTATTAAAATTCCAAACTTAATTGCATGGATCTTTGCTCCCTCAGAAGGCTCTGGAACAAAACCCTAGACAGGCTGCCCAGAGAGGCTGTGGAGGCTCCTTCTCTGGAGATCTCCAACCCGCCTGGATGCCGCCCTGTGCTCTGGGTGTCCCTGCTGGAGCAGGGGCTGGACTGGATGATCCCTAGAGGTCCCTGCCGACCTCAATGCCGGCCCCTCGCGCCGCGCTCGCCGCCGTGGTGCCCTGCGCTCGGCAGCAGCTCAGGGCAGCGCTGCGGGACCAGGGCTTCGGAAGCGGTGGCTTCCCGGCTAGTCTGCCGCACCTGCATCGCTTCCCAGGTCCGTCATGGGCTGCGAGTGCCTTGAGTTTGCCACGGCTGCTTTCAGGTGAGGTCAAGGAGGAAAGGGCAGCCCTACAAGACCTTTCACAGTACAAAAGCAGATGCTGCTGAACGTTATGGCTATTCAAGTCAGGAGGATATGCTCAACACCATTATTCCATATCTGGTATTTTATATCCATATCTATTTTTTTAACATGAAGCTGGTGGCAGAAAATAAAATGAACTCAGGTAAGTAGAATGCATCCAACCTGCGCTTATTCTAGAGTATACGGCCTATCCGTCTGCTCAGCATGGCAAATTCTGGAGAACGCAGGATAGCAGCGTTGTAACTCCGGGGTTCCCGGGTGAGAACCGTGCTCATCCGCGCTGTTTGTTTCAAGGCCTTGCTTGGCCGTGCTTGGCCCGTGCCTGCAGTGTCACCAGCCGTTGGAACCGCGGAGCAGCTCCCGCAGGCGGCCAGCGCTCCGGGACGCCTCCGGCAGCCCCCTTGGTTGGCAGCCCCCTTGGCTGGAGCGTTGTCCCGAGGCAGCGGGTGTCCTAATCGCCCAGGGACTTCAGGGTTTCCTGAGGAAGAAATGGGGAAGATGCTTAGTTGCAGCTTGTCTCTTTGAGGCAGTAAAGATGGCTCGAGCTGCTCAAAGCATTTCTGTGTATCTCCTTGCAGAATGAAAGGGGAGACTGGGAGTTTTGTTAGCTGGTCAGAGTTGTATATGGTGTATGTGTCTATATGTGTGTGTGTATGTATGTATTTAGATCATACTTGGACTTTAACTCCAGCAAACACCTCGCTACCACAGCTGTAGGCGTAGCGTGTGACTGTGGTCAGCGCCAAGGGCCTGTTCTTCATGTATTCAGGAAAACAGCTTTTTGTAGAGTCAGACTTGAGAAAACTGATTCTTTGTCCAAATTTTCTTTCACTGTTGAAGAGGTAAAGGTCTTTTTGGAGAAGTGTGTAGTGAGGGAGCTCTTTATCTCCTGAACTCTGTTCGATTCCTCCTGGTGCTAAGTCTGAGTAGGCCGTGAGGCTGTGCAGTAGTTGATGGGCTCCCTCCTGGGCCTGGAAACCACCGGGGGCTTTAGGAGTTGGTAGGCGTCTTGTTAAAATCTTTTAAAGCTAATGTCCTGTTTTTTTTTTTGTGAAAATTTATTTTCCTTGTGGTGTTTGGCTGATAGCTGAATGCCTGAGTGGGAAATAACTGCTGTTTGAAGAGATGTTAAGGAAATAGCTGCATTTTTGCCCACTTGCAACATGTGGCTGTGACTAATGCTGCTGTCCAGATAAACCATCTGCAGACTAGAGAGGCACAGTATTTCGCTTTCTCAGCTGCTTTAAATGTCCTGCTATCTGCAGCTTCAGGGTGAATCAGTCCACAGTTGTTTTTCTTTGAGGCAGAAGTTATTTTCACTGTGAAAATGAGTAACACAAAGAACAGTGATGACAGATCTTTGAGATGGAAGAGATCCTGGTGGATTTGGGTAGATAAAGGAGATTTTGGACATTTCTTTTTCTGCTGTCGTGACGACCCTAAATTGTAGAAGTGGAGGTGACTTTGCAGCTAATCCCAGACTGCTGATGCTGCTCTGCTCCCGCAGACCCACAACAGCCGTCCATGGACACAGCCGCACACTGACAACCGCCGAGGTGCCTCGGGGCACGGGGGTAGCAGCTTTAAAAATCACATTAGCATCTCCTTGGAAGCAGCTGTTTAAGCTTTACTTCAAGACACTTATTTGCAAACTTGAGCTTTCCAGAGCAATGTTAATAATGAACCTCAGAGAAATTCTCCGCACAGCTGGTGCAAATGTGCCAAACTGAACACTGCTGGTTGCAGGGAGGAGCCGGTGTCTTGGAGCATCTTCTGAGAGCAGGGAGGTTTGTCTCCTCAGCCTGAGACGTTCCTGACTGTTAATATCAACTACTGATACTTTGGATTGACCTATTTAGATT